TTGGAAACTATTCAGCTCTGCTCTTGCAACAGCTGTCATTCACAAATATTCTAGTAATACCTTATCCATAAAGACAGCTATTAGGTTGTGAGCTGATAGTTTTTCGATCCCTGATGGAGATGGTTTCAGATTAATGTTCTCTTTATTTTTAGCACTTCTGTACATGGTGCTATGTGCTTTGATCAGGCAGCAAATATACGTCCAATTAACTGGTTGTCACTTGTTTTGTGATGTCAACTGTTAAGTCAGTACAAGATTCATTATTTCTTTAGGGATTGCAAAATACCTATATACTTGTATATAAGCCGAGTTTTCCAGCACATTTTTAATGCAGTTTTTGTGGTAAAATTAGGTGTCTCTGCTGAGATTTGGGTGGCCTTATACTCGAGTATATACGGTACCAATTTATTGTTTCCACATTTATTAGCCAAATATTCTATATATAGATCTTGTCCTCTGTTCTGTTACCCAGTGGTACTCTTCCTATAGGAAGGCAGTATAAAATGCTTGATTTTTCAAATTGCCCACTTTAAAAATAATTTTATTATGTCTACTATAAATCAATTGATTTTGAAAATATTATGAACTTGAGTTTAAACATGTTTAATGTGTTTAAGCAAATTCACATTTTTCTCATTATTGATTCTTACCTTGCCTACCTTTTAGCCATTGACTACCTCTTCAAGTTGACCTGGCTTCTGAGTTATTTTACATGTTTGTCCATTTGATATTGTTATGCTATTATGTTTTTAAAGAGTCTTTAAAAATAGGGGGCGGGCATATGTGCATAAGTTTTGTTGATCGACCATTTACAAAGTAATTTTGTTGTTGAGAATATAAACAATAGAGCACATACCAGTTTAATAGTTTCAACATGTACAACTCGGTGACATTGTTTACATTTCTCTAGCTGTGAAAACTTACTCTTTTTCTGAGTTGTTCTTCCTCATAAACTAAATTACTGCCCCACAACTTTCCTGTCTAATATTTTGAGTAGCTGTTATCTACTTGATCCCATATAGATAGACCTTACGTATCTTGAGCACAGGGCTCAAGGCAGGCTTCTTCACTAGTTAAGCTAATATATTGTTTGGTTTTAAGATGGTTTCAAGGGATAATTTTTGGTTAAGATATTTCATAGTAATAGTTTCAGGGATTCTTGCAGTTTTCCATATCTCTCGAAATTCTGGATTATGTGAGAATTTGAAAATCTGTTCTGCCTTTACCCCCATAATTGTTCAGGATTTTTCTCTAGAATCTGACCAAAATGCTCAGTTAGGATGACCAGGCACCATCCAGGTAGTTGTTCATGGAGGCAATTTACCATTCATTGCATTCCCTCCTATTTATAACTCTCCTTCTTCCTCTGTTGTTCCAGGCAAACACTCGTGCTTTGGATGGCTGTTTGCAAGCTTTTAAGACCCCAGGCACTACGCAACGAACTAGGAGGTAGAACAGACACATTAAACGTGTTATTAGGCCACTTAATTAGGATGTCCCATGAAACATGACCTTAAATCTCTCCAAACAAGGAACTGAGTCCCATGAAGTATGTGGTTGTTCATAAACAACCTCAGCAGCTATATGTAAAAAACAGACCAAAGAAATTGGGTGGATCACTTTTGTAAATATTTCTACCATAGAACTTTTGCTCATTCAACTTTTTATAAGAATATGACTCAGTGGCAGCAGTCACATTACCTGGCTGTATAACCCTATCCTTAATGCAGTTCTTTCGTCACTGTAAACCACACCTTCACAAGCAGTCAGTCCTTTCCTTTTCCCTGTACCCTTGGTAACCTCAGAAAGGTTAGGTCTCTAGACATTTTCCTATTCTTGTTTTTTTTTATATACGTGAAATCATATAATATTTGTCCTTTTGTGATTGACTTATTTTATTTAGCATAATGTCTTGAAGCTCTTTCTGTATTTTGCCTGTATTGAGATTGCCTTTCTCTTATTTCGTATACACACACACAGACGCACATGCGCACACATATTTTAGCCCTTCATCCTCTCTCTGTTTACTTGTCTTGAAGTTCACTTATTCTTTGCTTAGTCTGATCATGAGCCATCAAAGAAATTCCTTATCTTTAATAACGTTTACTTGCCCCCCCCCTTGCATTTCTATTTAACAACAACAAAATATTCTGTCGACGGAAATTCCCCCATCTGCTTATGTGATGTCTCCCTTTTGTGTTAGTTCCTTCAACGTTTTAATCTTCTTATATTACAGTAATTGATTGATAGTTCCAACATGAGACTAATTTTTAATTCACTTTCTGTTAATAGCTTTGTCTCCTGACAATGAAATTATTTTTAGAGTATGCTTTATAATTTTTTGGTGCATGTCAGACTTCTGAGCAGTACAGGTGAGGCAGACAAAGAATGTTCAGCCATCTTCGTTTGCCTTAGAGAGAGTTTCTGGCACCTTCAGCTTTAAAACCAGGGTAGTCCCTGTGTAACTAGGATGGTTTGCTCGCTGTAGGAGGAAGCACACCTTTCAGGCATTTAAGGTTGAGTTTGGTTTTTGCTTTGAATTAGCTAACAAGCACTTCCGCTTAAAGGTGCCCCCCCCTCCCCAAAAACACACAGCAGAGAATTGGTGATCTACTTTTGAAAGGTGTGTTGAAAACCCCGTGAGTCAGAAAAGCAACTAACAACATGTTAGGCGTCAGGGTTTGTGTTCGTAATGTGTGTGTTTAACCTTCGTCATTCAGTGTTAGCTGTTCAGTTGTATTCTTCTCCACGCTGCACCTTTGCCCTTCTTTCTAGTGTTGGTTGTTTTGTTTGTGTTTTGATGGTGGGACTTAACATTGTTTTAGTCTAGCCTCTGTACAGATCTATGTTCCATCTGTAGAAGGTCTTGTGAATCAGAAAGCTTAAAACCTCTCACACATGCTGGAATACTTCTTGGAGTGATGGTACAAATCCTGGGCTCTGGAATTTTTCCTGCCCCTTCCTCAGTGCTGAAAGATTTTTTTCCTTCTTTGTCAAACTTCAGTGGGTTTTTTACTGATGCCTTGGAGGGAGAAAAAGATGGCACATTTTACTCGTGTAAAAGAGTCAGTCTCAAACCCACAGGGTCAGTTCTTCGATAAGATTGCTATGAATTGGCAGCCACTTGATGAAGAGGAATTTTTTGGATGGATTTGTTGGCATTTCCTCAGTGTTTAAGGTTTTCGAGACAATGATCTTGTTAAAGAGGACTTCATAGCTATCCCTCAGTGGGACTCAATCTCCTCCTTCATGCCAGTAACCACCAAGGAAGATTCTGTTTTTAAAAAATTATTCCTTCAGTTTTCCCCATGAATTCCCTGTGAAAATCCATGGAAAAGATCCTGAGTAAATTTGAGCAGCTTGTGGCTCGTAGTGGTTTTATGCTAACTCAGCAACCCATAATTGGACTTAAGCAATTGGCTCCGATTTTAACTGATTTCATCTTAGCTGCCTGCATGGGAGGAATAGCCTTCCCCCTCTGTCCTGCTATTGGTAGTTAGATAGTTCAGGTTAATTTAGACTTTCCCCCTGAATTTTGCAATATAAAATGCTATTATTTCATTCTACTCCTCTTCTTTTTAATCTTCTTGATGATTTGTAGCTAAAATGTATATGGTACATTTGTTTGGTTCTTTTAAAAAATTTGAACAGATAAATGCTCTTGTTCACTGTACTCAGGTTTTTTGTGGTGTAATCTGGAATTCTTATTCACCCTCTTAGAGATATAAAATGATTTTGTAATTCATGTCAGTCTAAAGTACTAATTTTTCGACAGGAGAGTTGAAATAATTCATTCATGTGGATACTACTCTGTTTCCCTGAAAATGCGCTAGGTCTTATTTTCAGGGGTTATTTTATTTTTTCCATGAAGAAGAATACGGTACACATTTATTATTGTTTTATTAAAAGAGACCTTGCACTTCCTGTCTGCTCCGGCTGCGCTGTGGCCAACAGTGAGCTGCGTGGTGGGGCCCACTGCTACTGTCGAGTCCAGAGTTACAGTAGCTTCGGGGGGGCTTATTTTCGGGGAGGTGCCTTATATTTCAGCAAGAGGCAAAACTGTAAGTAGGCCTTATTTTCGGGGGATGTCTTACTTTCGGGGAAACAAGGGTAGATTTATTTAGGACCAGGCTATAGTCACAGTTTTGAAAATAATTTGTTTAGTTAGTGTATCCTCTAATTACTTATACTCTAACATTCCTTTTTGTATATTCAGTCATGTTAATTTTTTTATTGTGGTTAAAAAATACATAAAACATTTGCTAATGTAGAATTTTCTGCAAGTGTAGTGTAGTGACATTGCAGTCCTTGTGTTCAACCATTAACTGATAATTTTATTCATGATACACTGGTACCCACAGGTTTCCAGTTATGTAATTCAGTCTTTTATCACACGAAGAGGGATTGTTTTGAGTTATTGAAACGTAGTATTGTCTATCAGCTATTTTCACCATGAAGGTCTTTGTTGACCTATATCTCTTAGGGGCATCTCTGACCTATTTATTAGCTTACATGTGTTTTATTTTGCCCCAGCATATTAGGTTAGCAGAGCTGAATGACTGCCTTTATGGAATATTTAATGATATTTTTGTGGATAGTTGGAAATGCCCTTAGATATATGTATTCTAACAGAGAGGGAAGACTACAACTTCATTTTGACACCCTTACCAGGAGTCAGTTGAATATCGATCAGGACGTTTTAAAGGAGATATTGATAGATTATATGTAGGCTGCTGGATTTAGAGTTTCTATGAATATTCTCCTTAACATACGCGTTTTTGAGTCTAAACAAGACAGTGTAATCGTAAATATTAACTAGCGGTATGACCTGTTTGTTGTTTATGTTTTCATGTTTATGAAAATTAGATTATTGTCAGAAGGAGAAAAAAATTAATTGATGCCATGGTTAGATAGAACACTTTACTTTGCCTTTTAAAGTTGACAGTAAAATTCATATTAAGTACTTGTTTTTTCTTGTTTTTTAAATTCACTACTATAAGACTTGCTACATTTGTGATGAACAAGGAAGAGAAAGCAAAGCGGCCACTGGTGCTTGCATGACATGTAATAAACATGGATGTCGACAGGCATTCCATGTAACATGGTAAGTACATTCCAATATTGTCCAAAAATGAAATTGGTGAATACCTAATAGAGACTCATCAACTGAAGATTTAATTGAATACGGAGAAAATATCTTGGAGGCAACATTGGACCTCCTCTGGCTCCACAAAGGAGAAAGAGAGTCCAATTACGCACAGCCAAGATCAGTTGCCACAGGCTGAAGTCAGACTTGTTTCCGCCCCATATCTGATATCAACCTCATGGCATTCTCTTTCTCTGCTGGGTTAAACAATTCATTGAAGTAGCCACAGAGAAAGAACTCATAGACCAGGCGTCCTCAAACTACGACCCGCGGACATTTATCCAGCCCACTGGGTGTTTTTGCCCCATTTGTTTTTTTACTTCAAAATAAGATATGTGCATTGTGCATAGGAATTTGTTCATAGTTTTTTTTTAAAAACTATAGTCCAGCCCTCTAATGGGTCTGAGGGAGAGTGAAGTGGCCCCCTGTTTAAAAAGTTTGAGGACCCCTGTCACAGACAATGCTCATAAGGGAAACTAACAGGTTCCCACAGCCAAGATCAGAAAACATTAAGTGATATAGTCTTCGGCCCATAGTGTACTGCCTCTTCTTGGCCAGGAGCACTTGTCTCTTTTGGTCCCTAGTTCCTCAACCACGTGGCTTCTCGGCCTCTTCTTTGTCCTGTGTACTTGGAAGTCTGACCGTTGCTCTGCTTCATAGTTCTATGGTCTCTGGTCTCTGTGCTGCCGGTTTGGGCACTTCCGGCAGGGATCTCGTATGTGCTTCACTGTGGCTGTTTTTTCTCCATGGTCCTGGCATTTTCTCTGTTCTTGCTTCAGAGATGGCCTTCTTATTTAGAAAGGAAGACTGAAACTGACCAGTCCTCAAGTTAGAGTTCTCCGAACCTTAGTTGTGTGCCCCCCCAATCATTTAGTAGAAGTTAAAAGACAAATGGATGGAAGAGCCGTATTTCAGTAATTTCACTTCACCGTAGATATGCAAATGTTTACAGTAAATTTTCATTGGAATCATTTTTATGTTCAAATAATAATTGAGTGTCTTTATCAGGGTGGATTTGCAATATATGCACACAGGTTCTAATTTCTTATTCTCCATAACCTTTGATTTGGTGTTAGGCTTAATTGAGGTGATGTTGGTAAATTGCTTATTTGATTAAGTTGAACAGTTAAATAAGTTATTTTTTGAGTATAAGTAAAGTACTAATTTTGGTGTGTTAAAAGAGCTCATTAGTAAGAATATAAATTTTAGTGCCTTGGGATTTTTTAGGGTAATATTTTAATTCTGTTTCTTCCATTGTTTTTCACCAAAAAATACAACTTATATTTATCTTGCCTCTTATATTCTTACTTGAATGCTTCTTGGGTGAATGCATTTTTTTCTTCTACCAGCATATAATCTGCGTCTCTAAGATAAATATCCCTTTAGATTTCATCATTTTAGAGGCATTGCCTTTTTTTATCTTTATGTGTAACATAGATCTTAAAAGTAAAAAGAACTATTCATTAGAGGGCAGGCACAGGCTTATTTTAAAGAACATATTGCCTCCAAGTTAGTTCCAAGTCACAGAGATACTATTGGACAAGTTAGAATGCCCTCTTGGGGAGTAGTCCTTATGGTGTCCAAGGCTATATTCCCTATGGAAACAAGACTCCCAACATCTTTCTCCCATAGAGTGGCTACTGGTTTTGAATCATCACTCTTAGCCACGGTGCCACCAGGATGTCTCAAAGAAATTAAAAGACTATTTGTTAGCATAAAATATATACAATTACTCATCCTTGGTAAACACGATTGAAGAGTGCATTTTAAGCCAGGAATAAAAGGGTAAGGCAGAAAGTGTTGCTCCAAAACCATATTTATTGAACAAAACAAATAAAAGTGTGCGAGACTACAATTTCTCAACATATCCTGATCTGGGTCTATACATTTCTGAAGGTGGTGTTTCCATCTCTCTAACCCCTTCTCCAAATTTTAAAAATTTGTACCGTCTCAGAACACTTGTGTTTTTTTGAGGTGTTGAGTTTCAGGGACAAAAAGAAATCTGAAGGCACAGGATCCAGGACAGTAGGGTAGATGGAGTAAGGTTTCCCAACAAAATTCTGAGAGGACAGCTCTTGCTACCCTCAAAGAATGAGCAAGGTACACATTCGTGATAGGAAAAAATGCCTCTGCAGTTCTCCTGTCTTTTACTTCACCATGTGGTTTTCAATCTTAGGAAAACTTCTAATAAGCCCTCGTAAGCATCCTGTATCCTTTAAGATGCTCTGTTACGATTACCCATTGGAATTCCCCTCCAAAAGTTGCCATAGCCTTCTGAGCTGACCTTTGCCTTGCATTCAACTGGCACAGCAGATGCCCTCAGAAGGCCAATGTTGGACCTCCTTCGCTTTTTGATGGTATTCTAATGAAACTAAGAGAGCATATTGCTACAACAATTTGTCTGAAGCCATCCATTGACTACAGAGACATGTTTAGACATATTTTTCTTTGGAATGATCCAGTCATGTGTGAATTATAGAACCTTAGTACTACTTTCTGTTTTAACCCTTGTGTATGATGGCTTTAAAAAAGTAAAGGTGCGAGTTTGAGTGAGATACATTTGATCACGTTATTTAAATATCCTTTTTATCATTGATGATAGATTTTATCTTACCATGCTTGAAAGTCAATTTCATGTGTTCATTTTTATTAATATAATTTATATGGCTTTTATTTTCAGTGCTCAATTTGCTGGGCTACTTTGTGAAGAAGAGGGTAATGGTGCAGATAATGTCCAGTACTGTGGCTACTGCAAATACCATTTTAGTAAACTGGTAAGAATTTGTCTTGAATTTAATATGGAAATGATGATGATCTTGACAATAGAATGACCCTGTTTTATTTTAAAAAGCCTAAATACCAACTGCTTTTCCCTTGATTTTTGTTTGAGATTAACTTGGCTCAGCATGTTTTTTATTTAGAAATTATGGCATCTAGTAGCTTAAAAAAGTTGGTTTCATAAGCAGCATGGGTGATTGAGTTAGTAACATTTGATTGTTGTTACATAGTTGTATCCATGTTCTTTTGAAGGATCAATATTTTCATGTTCAAAGTGTCGATTTTTCAGTTTTTTTCAGTTTTAATGTTATGATTTTGTAATCTAAAGGTTTGAGGCTTCTTTGTTTCTCTTGAGAGGTGTTTTTTTTTCTCTCCCTTTTCTTAGGAATGTTCCTGGTTGCCTCCTTAACCTCTTCTTCCCCTCCCTCCCTCTTTCCTTCCTGTTTAAAAAAAAAAAAAAAAAAGGAAGAAAGAATAAATTAGAGGCCCATTCTCATGAAATGAGCAGCTTATATCTCCAACTTTCTGCTTCATGCATATGAAATACTTAGGATTTTGTGTATTTGCTAAAGACGTATTTTTTTAACCGACAAAGAATGCTAAAGTGTTTTCAGAGAGGTATTGTGATTTTAAGACTGAACAATTTGCTGCCTGAATGTTAAAAACCTATTGAAATGATCATTTTGTAATTGGAGATGATATAAACTAGAGAAATAATGAAATAGATTTTAAGTTGTTCAAATGGAACTTTCTCATTGCTAGTCATTGATGCGCTTTTATCCCATTTGCTGGTTTAAGTAAAAAGAATATGATAACAGGATTGTTAAACTCAACATTCGCATGATAATTTGAATGTTTCTTATTAAATCAATTAGTTGCTGTACCACCATTTTTTTAAGCACTCCAAATACTCTCATCATCATATTTTTATTTATGTGATGGTGTAAGGATGGTGCAATGCTTTTTAGTAATGCTTTGTTAAATGCATGGGTCTGTTACTGACACTTTTAATTTATTGCTTACCGAACTGCAGAAAGACCAGTTTTTAGAAAACCTGCATACCCTTAATACTAAAAATAAATTTAAAAGGCTGTTTGCTTTTTCTAGTGGCATGAAGTAATAACTTCAAATGTTTTTTTTTTCTATTCTGGTACTATCATTCTTCTTCAAGATGATATTCTCTTTGGTGGAAACTTACTGTTTTTAAGCTGATAATGAAACAATAGTCTCTTATTTGAAAATAGAAAATCTGTTTTCATGCATTTGAATAGATGTACAAAAATGACATTAATGTTAAATTAGACTTAGATTTAATTGGATGTATTAGATAATATTTGAATGTTATCTAAACTAGGTTATCTAGATTGAAGTGTAGTGAGAATTTTTTTTCTTTAGTAAGCATTTAAAAATACTTCACATTAATTGGTTTAAACCTAACAAAAAGATTCTTTAAAGATTTTTATATACATATACATATATGTATATATATTTTCTTTTTTAGAAAAAGAGCAAACGGGGATCTAATAGGTCATATGATCAAAGTTTAAGTGATTCTTCCTCTCACTCTCAGGATAAGCATCATGAGAAAGAGAAAAAAGTAAGTGGATTTGTTGTTGCTAAATATGTAGCACATCTACTTAATAGGTTTTAAATTTTTTTAGTCAAAATTTAGTTTTTGGTAGGTGAATAGAAACATTGAAAAATACATAAATTGCAGCTTTATATAACAGAGTATTAACTCAAGGTTAAGTAGGTTAAAGAATGCCATATTTATGAATATGGTTCAACCCATTTCAATGAAAAATATGAAACCATTTGAGAGAATGAGAGAGATTTCTTGCATGTGTTACTGTGGTCATCTTCAAAATTCTTTAATGTTTTTGCAGTAATGGTTTGTTGCTATATACCGTATATACTGTGTATAAGCCGAGTTTTCCAGCACATTTTATAATGCAGTTTTTGTGGCTGATATTCGAGTCGGCTTATACTTACTTATATATGGTATTAACTAGTTACTTCACATGTAAGTAAATATCTCATCACCGTTTTCTTTATAATAGAACAGTTTGGAAGTTCTCTTTATTTTTCAAGCTTTTTTTTTTTTTTTGGTGGTGCCAATGCTGTATTAATTTTTCTAATGGGAAAATGTTACACCATATGTAGAGAATATTTTTTCTTTTAATTCAAACATTAAAAGCTTGCCTAAATACTAATCTACCTTCTTCTTACTTGCCTGCTTTCTGCTTACATTTTTATTTATACTAAGGAATATGATTAAATTTTCATAAGCTTAGAGTACTGTAGAATCACATCATTCTTTAACCAAAATATTGATAGTGTAGGAGAAGGATACTACTGTGAAGTGATTTTGAAGATTCAAAGAATATCATCTTCCAATAAACAAGAAGGTTGTTCTTATAAATAGTTGGTATAAACTAGTTTTGAAAAGATTTGTGCAGAATGGGTTTAAAATGACTTAACGTTTTGACTTTTGTGAATACTTAGGATTTGGGAAGATGATTGAAATGTTAGCTGTGCTAAAACATTTCAATTTTAATGTATGCTTGTGCCTTTTTATTATGATACACATGTTGAAAACTTAAATACTTAGTTTTGAGATTAAATTCTGTGTAATGAGGAAAATCGTTATGACTGTTCAACTGTAAGGTGCTCTAGGCTAATATATATGTCTTAGGCACCATTTATACATATTTGTCTTGGTTTTATTAATGAAGTGGTTTTGTGATAAAGTGGTAATATACAAACTATATTGTCTATTCTTTTTGGATTATTGATGGGAAAACTGCAGATTGATTTCATTACTAATTTTAACAGGAAGCACCATGAGATTTTATTCAAACGTTTAAAATGATGAAATAAGGGTTCTTAGATACAAGATTCATTAAAAGTTGAGAAGAGGGAAAGCTTATCAGTTTAAGGAGGAGTTAATTGACTGATAATTACTTTTGATATTTTCCATGTCATAATTTGAAGGCAGATTCTTAAGTACAGTATTGAATAAGTAAGTACGGATGACTATTAATAAAAATATACTTGTTGCCTTAAGAAAAAAATTGATTTTGCATTTAAGGTTTTTTTTCCTGGTTATCAAATATTAAATTAGAAAAAAAATTTTCATGTAACTTGTTCAGCTTTAAATGTTACAAGTAGGTATTTTCACTGTGTAAATAGTATTTAAATTTCACTTTTAGGAATATCCATTTGCATTTTAGTTTTTAATAGTGGAATTTAACTGATTATTAAAGATATGAAGTAAGCATATTTGAAATTTACTATTATTGGATTTGATTGTTGTTTTGGAGATGGATATTTCTATTATGATGTTTAGTGATGAGCTAGCTGAAAAGATGGGTGCACAAAGCCATCTTTCTCTTCCATCCTCTTCAGATATCAACATCTCTAAGGGTCATTTTGAAAAATGTCTAGTATGTTTATACAATGTTGCCTTAAAAAGTAATACTCGGAATTCATTCGGACTGTTGTATTTAAAAACACTAAACACTATGAGATAAATTTTTGTAATGTGCATTGGAGATAGTTTGAATCATTTCATGCAATTCTTTTATCTGGTATATACTTATATTTTAAAATATCATTTATTAAATCATAATCATAGAAGCCTGTTTAAGGCTAAATATTCAGATGTCTGAATTATTTATTAAAATGAAATAAACATCCAAATTACACTTTCTAATACAACCTAAAGAAAATTAAAACGTTTTCTTTGCTTTGCACAGCATTTGGTTTTCCAAGATATATCCGCATTGGTTAGCTATTAACTAGGAGTCCTGGTGTTGGGGTGTTCAAGCACTTCACTGCTAACCAGGCAGTTTGAAACCCCACCAAATAACTCCGTAAGAGGGAGATGTGACAGTCTGTTAAGGATGAAAGAAAGAAAATTGGGGACGTATTATAAGATGAGCTACATTACAATAAAGTGACATGTATGAGCAGCAATTCTGCCTTGTCCCATAGCATTATGAGTCCATTGAGTAGATGGCAGTGAGGTTTGTTTTATTTTTTAGCCTTTATCTCTTAAATTCCTTACATTGCCTTCCCTTACCACCATCATTTTTTGTCACCCTCCTTTTTATTGTATATTGCCTTTTCCTTTCTGTTTATCCTCTACTTAGTACTGTAACTTCTCGTTCCTTCCTATACCTGGTGAGCATCACAGACTTTGTTTCAGCGTGAAAACCTTTTCTTGACTTTATTGCAGTAGTGGTTTCATACAAGATTTGACCGTTTGTGGTGACCTTATTCACTCAGCGTAAAGTCCTCCAAGCTCATCCACGTCAGGAGCTGTTTCACCGTTATTTAGTGTTGTGTACCCTTCCATTGTTTGTATATCCCATACTTTGATTATTAACTGGGCATTTAAGCTGTTTCCTTTTTTTCTGTTGTGGATAGCACTACAATGAACATAGATGTGCATAGATCTATTAGTGTCTTGGTTCTTATTTCTCTAGTGTATATACCAAATAAAGGGACGTCTGGGTCCTCTGGTATTTCTATTTCCAGGTTTGTAAGGAAGCTCCATATTGTTTTCCACAGTGGGTACACCATCTGATAGTCACATCAGCTGTGTGTGAGGGTTCCAGTGTCTCCCTGCTGCCCAGTAGTATTTATTGCTTTCAAGTGTTTTAGCCTATCTGTTAATACTGGAGTAAGATGATTTCTCATTTTTGTTTTGATTGTATTTCTCTATTGCAGGCATGAGGAGCTTTTTTCTGCCAAGGGCCTTTGGATATTTATAGGATCATTTGCAGGCTGTACAAAAATTAACAACTTTAAAATTAACTTGCTAATTTGGTCAAACATTTAATTAACTTCTAATGTGCTGGCAGGAACTGCTTGTCTTTGGTGAGATGTGTGGTGGGACCTGATATTATTTTGAGGCCCTTTTGATCCTCACCCCTGCTGTATTGACTAATGGTCACAGGATTTCTGCATGTTTGCTGGCTGCCTTAATCTCTTTGGTAAAATGTCTGTCCATGTCCTTTGTCCATTTTAATTGGGTTATTTGTCTTTTTGTTGTTGAAGTATTGAAGCTTTTTAACTTTTAGAGATTAATTCCTTTTCTGATATGTCATTGTTAACCACCCCCAACCCCAGTCTGTTTTTGTTTGTCCCCTGTTGTTTTTGTTTTCTGTTTTAAAAATTCTTTTGGTGAAAAAAATTTGGGGGGGGGAGGTGTGGGGGATAAGACCTTTAGTGAGTTTATCCACCAGAGTGGAAATAATGTCTGTACAAAACCAAATGTTTGTTACTATAATTTCTGCATCACAGTTAAAATCCAGTTTTTAAAAAAACAGTTAATCAAAACCCACTACTTCAGCATCAGTAGCTTCTTTGAAGCCACAGTAGCACTTAAATGGATTAGGACTTGAATGCAGAAATTTGGTTGGTTGGGAAGTTAAACTCCCAACTTGCTCAAATAGAATTGCAAAATTGTGTTTTTCACAAAGATACAGTCTACTAGAATCCCCCACACTATATACAGCTGTTCGAGTATTTAGAGTCCTGAGATTATAAGAAATCCAGGCATCCTTAGACAGTCTTCTGATGCCCTTTCTTCCCAGTCAGAGATTTGTGGGCGTGTGGAAGGACACCCCACCAGCAGTGATCGCCTTGATGAACAAGTCCAACTCTTCATTGTGTGCCTTACCTTCAAGTCTTTTGATGCATTCCCTGCCAGTCAAGTACCTCTGCTGTGAGGTACTCCAGGATGGCAGCACTGTACACAGCGGCAGTCGTGCCCACGCCTGTGGATGGTTGTCCTAGATTTTGGGTGTCCATGAATAGAGCCCACCGGGAACTGCAAGCCAGCTGTGCGTGAGCTGGAAACCACCTTTATCTTGGCTTTCCCAGAGTCCGTTCCAGCCTTCTTGCCAGCCATTTCAAATTCCGCTGAATCTCAAACAATGCAGAGAAAGGGCTAGCTAGTCAAACACCTAGTGAGATCCCGACAGCTACTCCTTTGCACTCTCATTCAAACTGCCTTGGTGAACTTTTCTGATAACACATTTAAGTGTTAAGTGTTGGTCTTCTGTTGCTCGTGTTTCTTACAGTTATATGTACAGTGTATTAATGCCATTTATTGACACTTAAATTTGTCTTTATTTTTTCATTAATCTTTATAGTTCTGGGTTTTACATTCAGGTCTGTGGTACATCTTGATTCATGGATGTGTAGGTGTGGGGTAGGGGTATGGTTCCTGCTTCATTCGGCTGCAGAATTGGTGTCAGCTTTTTTCCTGAATGTTTCATGGACTTCTCAATGAAGCTCTCAGGTCTTAGACTTTTTCTTGTTGGGAGATTTTTGATGATCTGATCAATTTATTCTTTTGTTACAGGTCTGTTAGAATTTATTACTTCGTTCCATGTTGGTTTATGTAGTTAGTGTGTTTCCAGAAATTTGTTAACTTTCCTCTAGGTTTTCAAAGTTGGGGAAGTACAGGTCTTCACAGCATTTGTATTTCTGTTGGCTCTTTTGTGGTGTGCATTTAATTTTGTATGCACACTATCCACATCTTTTGTTCATGTTTCCAGCTATTTATTTTATTTAAAAGAACCA